AATCTTATCAAATACATCTAATCATTTGGTTAATAAAATTCAGCAAAAAGCTCAAAATAATATCTATGGTATAACACTTACAATGGACAGATAGACCAATGTGGTTAATCAAAATATACTTGAAAGTATATTAATTACAAGTGATAAACAAGTATTAGTTTGGCAAGCTCAAGATTGTAGTAGAGATAGAGTCCGAACAAATGATGTAAAACAAAAAATTATAGAAATAGTGCAAAGTATATAGGACAAAAATATTAAAGTAGCTTCAGTTGTTATAGACAGTCATGCATCTTATCAAGCAGCAAGGTAATTTTTTTTTAACCTTTTTTATCAGGATGCTATATGATATTAGTTGATAATTAATTTTTATATAAATATAGCTAATATGTTTAATATTTAGAAAACAATTACAAATAGAAAATCCGGATATTACTTTTCTTCCATGCTTTGCTCATCAAGCTAATCTTTGCGTGGGAGAAATATTCAAAGAATCACAAACTTATAAAGAAACTATGAAACAAGCTATACAAATTGCTACTTATTTTAGAAGCAAAAATCATATTTATTTTGTAGCCAAACTTTGTGATATTTAAATAATTACATATAACAAGCTTTAAACTTTAATTGTACCAGGAGATACCAGATAGTGTAGTTATTTTTATAGCTTTGCAAGTCTTTTACATGCAAAAGAATTATTAAAGGTAACTATAATATAATTTTAATAATATAATTTTAATAAAAATAAATTTATTTAAATTAAATAATTTAATTATTTTAGACATTAGTTGCACGTTATGAACCTCAGTCTGTTTATGATAGCAATGAAAATTCTGATTTTTTTAGACAATCAAGTTTTAATGAAGATATATTAGAACTGCCAATTCATATTTGTGATTCAGTTAATAGTAATGATTTTTGGAAAAACTGCATATTAATTAAAAAGCTACTTTTGCCATATTGTGGATGTTTAAATATCCTTCAACGTGATGCTGCAAAGTTGTATAATGTATTATATTCATTCGGCTATTTTTATAAAATTCTGTCACAAAATTCAGATTTAGAATTTGGAGAATGTCTTTGTCAATGGCTTGAAAAAAGATAGAAAGAATAGGAACAGCTGATTATTATTTTATTATAGATTTTGCATCCAAATTACCGGTTTGATAAATTCAATCAAGATTTAGCACATTTAAATTGTGTAGATTTTGGTAAATATCTTCTTTATTATTATATTGCATAGACTGGAAAAACACCCAATAAAATTCTTTAAGAATTTGATAACTATCGACAAAAAAAATATCTATTTAATGATAAATCATTTAAACATTTTGATAATGATGTATTTGCTTATTAGAAGTAGTATTCACATAAAACAAAAGAACTTGGCTTAGTGGCATGTCAAATCATGAGCATGTGTATTAATGCAGCTTCTGTAGAAAGATTATGGTCTTCAATAGATTACTTGTATTTAGTAAAACAGAACTGGCTAAAGGTAAATATAAAATTATAAATTAAATAAAATATATATATATTGTAATTATGATATCATTTATTTTTTTAGTATCT